GCATTTGTAAAAAGGACAGCCAAATAATGGTTACAGAAATAAGACTGCAGATTTTAATGAACTGTTTAAACTGTTTTCTTTTCTTACAGAGTCTGCCTCCACTGCCAGAGAGCTTGAATGACCTGGAAGTGTACACAAAAAGTTAGAAATTGAAATCCATTTTTCCAATTGTTTTCAGTTTACTATCTCCACTTACTCCACAAAATATTGACATTAAATGACAATCAAAAAATGCATTCATTTCTTAGAAAAATCAAGTCAAAAGCAAGACATTAGGTCCTTCTGCTAGGAGACTTAATCTAAGTCACAATAGTAAGAACTCAGTGAAGGTAAGTGAGAGGATGGGTGTGGACCAGCTAGGCAAATATTGGCTGAACTCTGCCTACCCTGTCTAATGTCAGACCAACTCCAGTAGCTGAGGCTAACTGCCTTTAAACATTCTTTCAAGAACCTATCAATTTGTCTATCAGACAAGTTTACTCTGAACCACTGAAGGAAGCAGAAAAGCATAAGGAATTCTGTCACTGGAAGAAAGTTTTAACTTACAGGAATTTTGATAGGGAAATCTAAGACACATTTTAGCCCAGTGTATGTTGAGTACTAACTAATTTAGAAACTTGCTTCCTGATACCACCTTTTGGCTTGCCCTCTTACAAGAGTTCAGTTGACTTTGGGAGAAAATGTAGCAAGCAAGCCATAATCTCAATCACAAAACAGTTCCCCCTCCCAGACACCCTCCCCAACAAAAGGCTGAACAGCAGACTGGCCTAGGTGGCCAAATTCAGCAGCAAGGAAAACCACAGCTCATTTCCTTAGCCAATATGGTGCCAAAAGGAAAATTCTGTGGGTTTAGTAAGCAAGAGATAATTTACCAACCATATAAAAGCTGGAAAAATGTAATAAAATATTAGCTTTCCCATCTTGGCCAACTAAACCCTTAAAACCGTTCCCATTTATTTAATTTGAAGTATTGTTTGTGGTTTGTAACCCTTTGAAACAGTCCAAAGCTTGTAAAGATTAAGAAGTGGAAAAGAATCCCTAAGTCAGGTTATAAAAGTTTTTGGATTTTATCAAGTTCCAAGAAATTCAGTTACCTTCTGGTCCTCCGTCCTGAAGCAATTCTTAACATAGTTGGCAAATTTGGGTTCCAGCTTAGGAAGGGAAGAACCCTATTTTGAAAAAAGCAAGCTTTAGTGTATGCCCGTCATTTAACGAGTCCAATAACTAACTTATGAAGCATAAATCCTTTTGCAATACACTTGGAATTTCACTGAACTCACCTTGCGACATCCCAAACCAATCTGTTTTTAAACCATTTTTTAAAGTTTGCTTCTCTACAGTGCCCAGGTATTTCTCACAGGAGTGAGTGCCTATACACTAAAATGGCTGCACAAGCATCTTTGCTCAGAAAGGTAACAGCAAGCATTCACCACTTAAAATAACCTTGTCTGTAGTCAACATTCTACGTGCTATTCAGATGAACTAGGATTAATTCCATATTTATGGATTCTAACTACAGCACACAGCTTGAGACATTACTACTCTTTACAGATAGGTTTGACTTCAGCTCAAATTAACTCATCTCCCACCTACCCTCTAAAACTCATCTGAATACGTTAGTTCTGTGAGTTTAAAGAACCACTCTAGAGATGTCTGCTTGGATCTCTGAAATTGTCTTTGTACATACTCAAGTGTGCAAACCAGATTCAGTAATTTGTGGATCTTCATGTCTCCTCCCATCTCCAGGCACCATAATACAACACACTATTTTAAGAGACATCTATTCACTTTCACATGCCCCATGAGTGATATCTTCCCCATTTTTCAGGTACATCAGTTGAAATACACCTAACCAATTACGATAGTACATTTAGCTGCTACTCAGCACATTGCAGAAGGCAGAAACTTTGTGTTCAAAGGAAACAAAACTACATTAGAAATATCTGAAACTGCAATACTGCAACCAAAAACCTGGATTTGGACAATGTCTTACCCCCGAGTTCTGTCAAGTACTGATGTTTTTCTGTTAGCTTATTGACATTTACTTGCTACCTAATACAGCAGTTCTGCTCTAATAATTTAATAAGATAAAGTGATTTTTTTAAAGCTGCCAACTCACTGGCTGTCAGCTGGAAGTGCTATTGTATATGACAACACACAAACCTTTTGCCTTATGTATGCTCTAGCACCATCTTGGAAAACGTTAAATTAAGCTGCCTGCTATTGCTTCTACGTATCTTGTGCTTACACAGCATTTCCCAGCAAAAACACTCCTCAGCAACAGAAAGTATATTCTAAAGCTACTTGCCAGTTATCTGGTCTGCATGCTTCCCTCCATTGGGACATCCATCTACTGTGAGCAGCTCAGTCACTTCTGCTTACACTGCAGAAACAACACTAATCATGGCTCCTCTGAGTCATGCAAAAAACCACCCTAGCATCCACTAGATCCAAGAGGTTAGTTTGACCTCGCAGAATGATACCATCCATCACCATCAGGTTCACAGTTCAGGGATATGCATTTCCATCCTGATCAGTTTGTCATTGCTTACTCTGCATCCACTCTGTATTGAAACACTTTTTGTCATCTTTTGCATTCCTGGGACAGAACTGCCTCAAAATATCAAGAATCTAAGCAGAAGATAATCCTAATTCTTTAGGTGATTTGATTGCCAGTCTAAGGGGGAAAAAGTATCATCTCAGACCAAACAAAAAACCCACAAATAGTCACAGCACCAACATCAGTGTAGGCTTTAGCCAAGAATGAGCCTCCAAAAGAATCCTGTTCCATCACAAATGAGCACATGATCTATAAGCCCACTCCTGAGCTAGTAAAGTAAAACCAGAACCCATACAGGACTACCACCTATTCTGCAGTACGGGTGGGTGCTGAACAGCAGCCCTAGCTAGCACACAGGCTTCCAAACTTGGCTAAGGGCAAAAGAACTGCTATTACCTGCTATACTTCTCACAGCCAGCCTATAGCTAAAATGCATTTTTGTTTTTCACTCTTAAATAGCAGCTAAGAGCACTTGTATGCATAACCGTGAAGTGCTAGTCAAAGCTGAAAGCAACCAAAAGCAGAGTGACTGCCCTGTAACCTTCAAAAGAGGAAGCATCCACTGAAGGGAGACTCAATAACCCCACATCTTCAGTTCAGAAAGCAAATGCTTTCAAGTCTTCATCGATTCATTAATGCATATCACAAGCACCTTATCTCCCCCTTCTGGAAGTCATAAAGCCTTACAAGCATCTGGCATAAAGCAGCTGGATACTGCTTTAAGAGCAAGCTGTTCCAAGCATGTAAAAAACTCTGCTTTACACCAGCTGCCTAAAAAATGTGTACACTAGTTTAGTGTAAAAGTCTAAACTAAAGTTTAGGCAACTTTAGAATAAATGTCACCCAAAGTTTGTTGCTTTATTTTTTGTAGTTTTTGTCATTTCTTTTAAATTGTAACTGAGACAGTTCACTAAGAAATACCAAACTATAAGCACCACTACTGGTGGTAGTGACAGAACTACAGTAGGTGGTTTTTGTTTCTCATGAGTACAGAAGCTTCTTTTTGTCCCAAATGGGTTTTCATTTCTCTGAGCTTCAACATCAACATACTCTGGTAACAGCACAGTCATCAGTGACATGTAAACATTTCTTTAAAACATCCGACTCTTGAGCTGTGGAAGTGTAAACATACAGCTGACAAACCTGAAGTTTCCAAAAACTCACCTTATCTATGGATGCCTGCATTTTTGCTTTAATCTCCTCTAACGACAGAGGGACTTTTGGTGTTTTTGGAGTTAGAGATTTATCCTTCTTGGAATCTGGAGTCTGAAAATTAGTCATTTCATTAGAAACTTGCACATACATAAAGCTTAGTATACAAGATCAAGTTTTCTAAAAACAAGAATGTTAAAACTTACTGTAGGGTTTATACCTTAATAAAAGAACTAGCTATCACATAGATACTTCAGTTTTCAAACAGTCACGGAAGTTAAATTTGTGCTTCCAACACACTCCTCAGAGACAAGGAAAAGAACAACATTTAATAAGTTTGGAGTTACTACAGTTAGCATAGCTAGGATCTTACACTTCTGGGCAGGTGCCTACACAGCTCCTTCTCATAACAGAAATGAAACTGAAAATAGCCCAAACATTCGGTGATTTTAGAATTTACTCCACAACTGCAGCCAGATTAGGTCATGCTTTAAAAGGCACACATCTGCATTGAGTTTCAGATGCTATCCTGCCATCCATCCCACACTACTTTCTGCATCAACCTTCCTGTCATGCATGTTCAAGTACATGCAGCAAGGAAAAGCTTCATAAGGAAGCTTGACAACCACAAAGCAACTGAACAAGAAAACTGTTAGTTCTTAACAGATCAGCTAAGTGTGACTCCCCTATTAACAGCAGCCTCCTGTTGTACTGCAGTGGCCACACAGCTGGCGCTCATCCTCTTGTATAAGCAGCTACACAAAAAAACATACAGACTTGTATTTTAAACCACAGGATCACCAATACTCACAAGGGACATCATGTCTGATTTGGAATCTTGGCTGTTATAGTTACATACTGATCACTAGAGTTTCACAGGGGAAGATGAAGCAATTAACGGTATCCCCAGCATGCTTCATAAGAAGATTCAAAAAACTTAATGGTTAGCCACTATTTGAAGTTACCTTTAGGCAAGAAAACTAGCTTCCACACTAGAATAAACATTTGTTTTACTCATTTGTCTTCACTCACTTTTGATTTAGATGCTGGTGTGGACGGCTTAGAGTCTTTTCCATTTTGCTTTGCTTTCTGCATATTTTTTCCTGAAGCCTCACGGACAGGCTGAAAAGAAAGCACGTAAGTTCATTTGCCATGAAAAACTGCTAGTAAATGTTACACTTGTTAACATAATACTCAAGACTTAGCAACAAATACACACTATTTATCAAATAAAAAAGCATTCTCACTGCCCATGCAGCATGAACATTCATTATCTAAGCAGAAAGCATGTATGCTACAGGAACTCAAATGAAAAACTGCTGGTGCAGCACAACACGTAACATAACCAAGGTCAAGCTTTGTTATGCTATACAACTACATGGGACCTCACTACATTTTCCTTAAATATTACATCTGCCCTTACATAGTACCATGCAGAGTTTTGGGGGCAGATGTTGCATAAGACTAATTCTAGATGGCACTCACTGCAATTCTAAGATCTGACTCAGTGCTACTTGTTATTTGTAACACAACCATTACCTCTTGTTTGGCATTTCACCTGGGATGTGCATGGGCAATGCCACATGTGTATTTATGAACTGGATTCTTATATTCCTATATAAATCAAGGGACCATTTCCTTCAGCCACACTAGATTTGATTTACATAGCAGGAAATCTGCAGTTCAGATTGTCTTTACCAGGCCTTAAACTATTGTGCACCACCACCTGCTTCTAAACAGCAGATGTGTAAGTATAAATTCAAGCCGAAGTACACAAGTTCAAAAAAAATTACTACCTTCCACCATGCAGTTGCCAAGTTGTCTTAGTTTATTTCACCACCAGATGGCACTCAAGGGCTGATGTAATTTCACAATCAAGCACATGGCTGCTTAGATCCCTTTTATTACTGAAGGTTAGGTTGCTATAATGACCTTTTTTCACAGCATGCAGGACTAACTAAAATAGCAAAGCACAACCCACATCTTTGAGCAGGATTGTGCTTGCTGCTCAATAGCCATACATGAAATCATACCAGTCTGACAACTGCACATGAGCCTACGCATACTAAAAACCCAGCCACCCCTCTGCAGCAAAGTAAATAAAATATGGATCTTATACAGATTCACATGAAAGTATTCTAATGTCCCATTACAATTTCTTTATACAGACTTAGCTAAATCAAAACGATCCCATTCACACATTCCAAATAGCTGTGCTTAAACTCATTGATTGAAGGGACTATCTGCCCAGTTACTGTCATCCCATTGCATATAGCCCACTATAAAACAGAACACTGCACTAAGAGGACACTTCAATTAGCTTCCGCATTACCATAGATTTAGAGTTCAAACCTGAACACCTATCTCACTTATGCAAACACAGCTTCCCCCCCCACACACACACTTCTGCTTTAGGGGTGTTCACATGAACCCTCAAAGATGACTCAAAATAAGGACAGTTAATTAACACCTATTAGTAAGTTAAGAGGTGTTAGCACTTGCTCCCTCTGTCTGAATAAACTTAGCTGTAGATATTAAGTCCCTCTGATGTTATCACCTGCTTCTCGTCAAGTTCATTAAATAGGCTCTTTAATCCTCCACAGGTGAAGAGGGGCACAATGTGTATTATATATACCACTTACTTTCTTCATTGGTGTTTTCATTTCTTCCTCATCATCCTCAAAGTCATCCTCATCACTACAATTAGAAAGGTAGTCACTCACCATAATAAGATTCATACTCACACCTTTAACCACATTAGGAATTAGTCTTCCGCCTCCCCACAATAAAATCTTTTATTCATGAAGGAAGCAAGTAAGCTTCCCAAGTCAACCTTATACCTTGTTTTAACACACAGCAAGTTAAGCCAAACACTCTACTTACTACTCTTAAAGCTCCCTTCTGCTTTAATACTGAAGGCATGTATCTTCTACCACTGCTAATGAAGAAATTCTACATTTATTAACAGTTAATGAATTACAGGAAACTAAGTTTTATAACCCAGTATGACATATTTGAGTAACACTAATTTAGGTTGCATTGCAGAGAAACTTGAGGTAATTCTACTTTTTTTGTAGCAAAGATAAAAAAGTAGCCTGCCCAACATCCCATTATGTCACACAGTTTGTATTCTGAAAGTTAGCCCTGTATTCCACAAAACAAGAATACATACTCATCATCCTCATCATCTTCATCATCATCCTCATCATCTTCTGATAATTTTGCTTTTTTCTTAAAAAAGATCAAGTATGTTAATTGTGAACACCATTTTGCCTTAATAAACAGCAACTTTGATCCAAAACAATTTGTGGCATAACTACAAGACTATCTTCCATCCATTTAGCTAAGAATTAACGTTACAGCTGCCAACTCAAAAGCTATTGACAAATTTACAGCATGCTCTGAGCATATGAATCTTTCCTTCTACACTACAGCTTCCACCAGCATTTAAACTCTTGCAATACACTGGTGTTTATGCTAGAATCTGTACAGTTACTGCAGTGGACAAAATTTCCACATAAAAGTAGCCTTCACATTAGTCCCTCCAGCAAAGCTTTGGAAACTGTACTTAACTATACCTCTGTAATTAGTACCTGTCAAGACTCAAGTACAAAATTATGCTTCCCCACAGATGTCGAGACCATGTATTAAGCAAATCATAGCAAGCCATCTAACTGCTTACTCCTAGAGGCAGCATCAACAGCAAACCAGAAGAAAACTCTGCAGACAAGCTGACTGAAAGCATATATACCTGTGGTGTTTTAGCTCCTCCTCCACTTGCTGGTCTCTTTGCTGAAGTGTTCACAACTTTTGTATCATCTTCCTCATCATCCGATTCTGGTTCTTCCTCTAATGCTAATAAAATGATAGCAATATGTAAAAAAAACCCAGCTCATTTAACAATAGTTAAAACAAGATTGCTATTAAGAAACAAAACAGAAGAGCATTACCCACAACTAAATAGGCACGGTCTTACTGAAGCACTGAATTGATAGGAGGAAGCTTCTACTAGCCATTCAACCACTGAGAGCAGGAACTTTTCTAGTTGACTGTATAAAGATATTACTACACTGAAATCCAAACTAGGTGAATAACCATCCATACACTGCCTGTAACATTCCTCACAGAAGAGAGGCCACAGAAGGTCAAGAACAAAGTTTTCTCTATTTCTAGGGAGACACATGTAAGAAATTTTAAAGATCAGTTTCAATGACAGTTCTACAAAGGAGAAGGCTAGTCCTGGCATAGTTTTTAGTGCAAACTCAAAACTATTTCATGGACAGTCTTCTCACACACTCAAGCAGAAAGCTCACAGTTTTTACCTGTGAGACACTAGCATCAGGAACCTAACACCCATTTTTAAGGACAGAAATTATAACTCAAATTGCAAGGCTCAAAAACTCCCCTTTATCCATACAAAGGAAGAGGCAAGAAAAGGTAAGCAAGCATTTCTCTGCACTCCTTTGTCCTACAGTTAATCACACCTCTGAGGACAGTGCATTAAAGATTCAGAGGGTCAGTATTAGAAAGTACTGCCCGAGATATCAGATACATCACTCCAGTTCTGTTGGTGCCAACAGGTAGCAAGATCAGAGTAACACATACCTACGAGATGTTGACCACTAACGTAAACAGGGCCCGAACCACATTTCAACCTCAAGACCACCGGTGGTGTGATCTCAAAGCCACCTAATGAAACCTAAGGAAAAAAGCATTGTTATTTAGTCAAATATTGAAGGCAAATTGTGCTTAACAGACAATCCGTTCAAATGAAACCAGGAGCACCAACATTTGCAGACTCTAAGGCAATACAGTTACTCTAAGTTCCCATCTCACAAAATATTCCCCAAGTGTTTAGAGTCAAGTCAGGGTCAAGAAGCCACAACCAGGTTCACTATACTCTCATTACTTATAATTAAAGCACACTTTTCAAAGCCAGACCAACCCACATTTGTTTCTCCTCAGGTTGGCAGCAACACCAATTTGAACATTACCCATCACACCTGCTCCCAGCATTGTCCAGTTCCACCTGTACAACATCAGCAACACCAACTCAAATTACATTCCAGATGGTAGGAATGGCAAGTAGGGCACCCTCAAATCAAGAAAGGGTAGCATTCATCTTTAGGACATCTTTAAAGTTTGGGACCTGCAGAAAACTAGATTTTTCTTATCCTAGGCTCAAAGAAAGCAACACAGGCTATACATGCATCTGCTTGCAAACACATGTATTTGTATACATAGAGACAACATGCATAATTACCATCACTTCTAAAAAGTGCATTATTTGAACAGAAGTCTATCATCTCCAGATGACTAGTCTACCAAGAACAAAAAAAATTAGATTTTAATTTATTACACAGGCCAAAACTGACACTTGTCTGAACCTGCCGACCACTGTGCAGTTCACCAAAGTTCAGTTAACCAAAACTTTTTCTAACTTGTCTTTCTCACCAGAGACACAGTTTATGGTAATTTTTCCAAGTTCCCGTACTTACCGTAGGCTGCACTGACATTTTCAGAGATGCCAGTACTACTTTAATAGGGTTGCCCTCATAGTCCAATGCTTCTGCTTCTACAACATGTAATTCGTCTTTGGCTCCGGCCCCTAAAGTAACCTGTGAAGTAAAGAACAGTGCACATTCTTAGAATCTTCCCAAATATTCTCAGGTCTTTTAAATGCCATTCACTGTTCTGCATCTCCTAAGACTGAAGTTTGTACTTCTGACTGCTAATCATTCCACTGCACTCCTCCCAAGGCAAGATCCTCCTTCCCCCTAACACTGTTACTTGCAAGGTGCAACTCAAGGCATGTGTTTTGATGATAGCGAAGAGCAGACCTTCTGCCACTGGATTATTGCATTGAAATGGGTCAGTGACAAGTCCAGTCAGAACTGAAGCTGGCCAAGGGAAGAACTACTAACACAAGCCTAGGGGAAGGGAAGTAACTGCTATCACTACTCCAGAATCACAGCCTTTATCCTTCCCCTTCCTGCCATGTTTCATCTGCCAACTGCTCCACTATCACACCACATTCTTTTTGCTTGCTGGACACTCAGTGAGGAGTTAAGTCTTAACAACTGCTCAGTTCAGTACTGCCATTTATGCATACGCCTTCTACATTAATTCACCAAGGACCAAGAGCTCCTGTGCCAGCGCATTTCAAAATGCAAGTGCCTGGATTCCTTACACTGGGTACAAGTCTAGTACTTTCTGAAGATTCAAAAAATCATAGCTGCAGGGAGGCAAATGAGTGACAGACATGGGACAGGCCTGAAATGCCAGTTCTCTGAACCTCTGGCATCTGAGTCAAGATTACATGCAAGAGATGTGAAAACCAAAAATCCCTTGAAGTACTACAATTATTTCCTAGACAAGTGAACAAGGCTGTTTCCTTTCCCAATGCCAATGCAAAGAAAGCTTTCCACCCTCGATGGGGGAATGCCTCAGACAGAGGCATACAACTCCAATTTCTGTTCTCCAAGAGCTGCATTTTAGGCAGGCAATAATGATCCAGACAAGGTGTATCAGACCGAAGGCTGAGAAACAGGATATAGATTCACTACTCCTAGCAAGTTTTGTTACCATAAATTTAAAGAGGTGAAATTGCTTCTCAAATGTGTTAATAACAACACTGAATCACTCAGCAGGCCAAAAATTTATAAGCATGCCCTCCCCATCCCAGTTACTCCTGTCATTTGCACCAGCTCAAGCAATACTACAGCACTTACTATTAATTTATTTACTGTCTGGCACATATCCATTCATGCACTTTAATTTCTACACTGAAGGAATGCACACTGGCAATTAACAGATAATGAAGCAGTGACCATCCCTCTTTATGTTCTCAGCTATCATTAGTAAGACTTCTACAGAAACCCTCATGCCACTTTCTACCTCTACACGCATAAATCTTCCTCTCCTTTCACTTTTATCCTTTTTTTCTCCCCACCTCTTCCTGTACCTCATACCTAAGTCCATGGCCACACCTGTAGCTTAATTGACATTTGTCAGTCAATCCTTATAACCTCTAGTCTTTTATCAGGTGCCCAGATCAGTCACAAGGTATTTGCTACCATCACACTTTACCTTCCATCATCTCCTTCCTCTGCTTGCCAAGGCATTTTCTGTTTGTAGCCATGTCCAAGACCTTCCAAGCCTCTTAAACATTTCCAGTTTGTCGTTTGTTATTTCAACCCCCATTTCTCCTGCATATGATCTTTTGTCTTTAAGACGACAAGTTCTTGCATTAGACTTTTCCCCCACAATCCTAAAAATCTAAGTAGCAGTATGCATCCAGTCTGCTTCATCCCCCATGAAGAGCACAGAGTAGCAGATAAGATGCTACCGGTAACTCTGCAAAAACAGGATCTTTGGATAAAGCCATAAAACTCAAGTATCACCCAGTGACTCATTTCATCTGCATGAGAAACATTCAGATATGAGAACTATCTGCATCAACTTGTCCTATACATACTTTACTGTTATATTCTTCCTGCAAAAGAAATTCTAATTAAGAAAAAATTAGTCGTTGTCAAGTCCAGGCCGTAATTTTCACATAATGCAAGGACTGAAGACACATGATTCACAGAACTGTAATGCCTGTATTAAAGTGTTTTAAGTATCACTGTGAATAAGTTTGGAGAGCATTATTATGCAAGTCTCTTGCAGGAAGCAATTCTGCTGTAGAAGTAATCCACAACTGTAAGACACTCTTGTTTCCAGGTATCATTAAGGTATCTTTTGGTATTTAAATAAACCATAAAGTAGAGAGGTGCTACACCTCTTCAATTCCTTTCCTGGGAAGTTGTGGCATATTATCTTTCTGCTAAGCAAACGCAATATGCTCAGACCAGAACAAAAGCTTTGAAATATTGTGTCTTGCTTGCTGCGGCAGCAGCAAGGTCTAAGGACACATGTAAGAACTTTCAGTGTATAGATCTTGATTTCCAGGAGTATCCCGCTCAACGAAGAGTCTGTTAGATGAGTTATCTGAAGGGTAGACAGTGTTTCCCATTTGCATCCTTAGAGAGAGCAACACTAAGGACAATAAATCAAAATGTAACAAACACACACAATTTAGATTTAGTTATTAGCTCCTCACTAAGAAGAAAAGCACTGAAATTATGTTTGGGGAATATATGGAAAGCTTTTCAAAATAAAGTTTCTAATAAAGTCTAGTAAAATGTGCCCATGCATGGTTCTTGTAAATCTATCCCCCCCCGTGCTCCTGTAGCATCTGAACTATTGGAGGTGTCAGCGTGTATATTCTGGCCTTTAATCCTGTTTAGTATACATTTATTAACCTAATGTGAATTAGTTTTTAAACTTTTCCACACTTGTATTTCTTGCTGTAAACGACAAACACCAGTGGATATTTTAAACTTTTTTTTTTCAATACAGCAAATATTTCAAGTGACATGCTTGAAGTGAGTAGGCTCCACTCCAGTAGGAAAGAGCTTATCATTTAACAGATTCACATAAAAACACTTATCACAAGAAACCAGTTTACGGGAAAAAAACCCCAACACGTTAAAAAACTCACTTCTCGACACTGCGCACCACTATTTATAAATACTAAGTTAAAACCCAAACAATACTTGCCGTTCTCAGAGACAACTGATGCTCATTTTCTTCATCATCTACTTTGAACTGATACTCCTTATCTGCTTTAAGCTCGCAGCCTGTGAAAAGACCATTTAACTATAAGCATACTGTTTTACTTGGACGGAGGTATTCGCTAACGCCTTATTATTTTACAACTTGCTGCTTCAAGGCTGTGTACTTGCACAGAAAACCAACGGCGCTCGAGGCACACAAGAAACACGTGGGGTGGGGAAAATCCCAGGCGCGTCTGCGGCCTACTGCCGACCACGCAGCTCCTAGCACGGTCCTTTCAAGCCCATCCCCTGCACGGCCACCCACGTTCAGCGTCCTCCGCTCTGCGCGGGGGTATGCCATCGCCCGGGACGCCCGGTGTCGGCGGCTGGGCCCCCCCACCCCGCCTCGCTTCCAAGCAAGGCGCGCCACGGCCCC